TTTGTGTTTGTTACTCTCTTGTAACACCTCTAATCTTCGACACTTATATGACCTTATTGTGTTGCAAGTGCCCTAAAACTCTTACTAAAACGAAAAGCAGTGGTTGTAGGTGCAATGCCACAAACAAAAACCCAACTCCATCACAGAGAGATTGTAAGAAAACTGAATGGGTATGTTGGTGTCTGTTGTATTATATTTGAGAAGTTGTTTGGGGAGATAAAGAAGAGAAAGACGCTATTAAGAGCATAGTTGCTGTGTGTTGCTGAAATACAAACATTATAATATAATAATAATAATACTAATAGTAATAATCATACCAATTGGAAGCTAAATTTTTCGCCCTCCTACCAGAGCAACCAAGTCCTCTCATCCGAGAGATGGGGGCAGGGGAAGGCATGGCAGATCCCAGATGATAATGCTGTCAACAAGCAAGACGCAAATGGTCTCTGCACCTTCTCCGCAGTCATATGGCTCTCCGATAAGTGCATGCTTAATACATGTATGTAGTTGGGTATTCCCTACGTAAAGTCACATCCAGTACAATGCTGACAATGAACCTCTGCTTTCCACCCCACCAATACCGTCCCAACTCCAGGTCATAGAAAGGTTGTCGATGGAGAGAGGAGAAAAGAAAAGTTAATAAATGTAATAAAGTAAAACAATAAAGACAATAAATAGAAAGAGTAAGATACATAGTAAAGTAATATGTCTCTTTTCGGGGTCACACCTTGATCCGTTAGCTTCCTCTTTTTCTTTTCCTATTCGAAGAGTACTATCCCCCCCCCCCCCAACCACGAAGAGGTTGGTCTATTTCGGGGGGGGGGGGGGTTGAGAAATAAAAAAGTAGTTGTTTTCACTCCTCGCTGACACAGTTTAGACAATGCAGACTCCGATCATGGGTTTCAGAGCCATCTAGGTTGAGAGAGATACAAACACTAAGCAGAAAGACTGAGATACTTGATAAACATTCTCCCTACAAAGGAATCGACATGAGGTCTTCTGTATACTACAATGAAGAGCTAAGCCGCTACATCATAGACGTTGGTCTGGGTTGAAAGATGCTCCTAGTCTATCCCAAATTGACCTATACACATGTGTACATATTATGTCTACACGTAATTCCCAATCTCGTTATTTGAATTCATGAACTTGGGCTTCCATAACTGCCTCACCTCTTTTATTATTGATTGGGACACCTAACAGCAGACTAGAAAAAAACTCGTTCAAAGAAATATGTTAATAACTTTTTTGCTTATGGTTCAATTAACATCAAAATTGACCAAGAGTTAGAACATACACCGGGATTATATCTTTTAAAAAGGTCATTGCTGATGCAAAACGGAAAGATGATAAAGCAGTTTACCCCCCGAACACAAAGCTTTTGCTGGTAAGATTTTTTCAGCAAACGAAATCTCCCAAATCGACCTCTGCGCTATTTGCTCGGGTATACGGAATAGGTATCTGTAACCAACATAATGTTCCTGGCAAAAGGTCCACTCTAAAATGGGCGGCACATCTTGAAAGGTTTGGGTCCATAGAAGATAAGAAGATAATTCTAAAGTCCCGAGTAAGAAGCGGTAGGCAGCCTGTAAAAAAAAACCTCTTTAAAAGGTTTGGGCGGTCCGTGATTCAGCGAGCTCTGACGGATATCTCGTCGTCCTACCAAAGTTCTGGAAAAGCTTTAGACTATAATTTGATGAAGAAAGGAAACAGAACCAGAACTTTCGGCAAGATAGGGCTGCTTTTCATGACGACAAAACTATTCAGCGATAAATCACCGAAAGAATCCACACCTGAGTTCACTGGAATTTCACCGTTGGGGATGTTTGAAAAACCAAGTGAGTGGGAAAACCTTCGATAGTATCAAAGGCTCGAGATCAACCACTATGGAGGACAAGCAGAAGACTTCCCCAAGCAGTGTCGACCTGACTGTCAATTTCATAGTCATTAATTTCTCGAAGTTCTGTATGGGGGCGGAGGAGGAGAACTGAAAAAATGGATAAAGATAATGAATTGGTGAAATAGAAAATATGAAGAAGGAAGAAGAGAAGGAGGAGGAGGACGAGGAGGAGGAAGAGGAAGAGGGAGGTATAGGGTGAGGAGAAAAGGCCGAAGGGAACACGTATTGGGGATTGAGAAGGATGAAACTGTATGAAACAAAATCATGAACTCAGCAAAATAGCCACATTTTGCAATGTCTGGTGGACATGAGTGCTTATTTGTGGGAGTCTGGAGATAAGTCTGTTCAACAAAGTCTGCTACTGAAGTTTTTATTGCCTGTGTCCGCAGTATGTACGACAGGGCGGTATAAAATTCAATGACAAGCACATCTGGTCGGGGTAGGCAGTTTACTGCTCGGAAGAGACACTCTCCTCATGGTCTTGTGTTTGTATACTGCTCACAACACTGACAAGGGCAATCACTACGAAAAGACGAAAACAACTCACGACAGTTACGGGTGATCACAAAGAATAATTGACGAGGACAATTGGACACTGACTTATTGGGTTTACTCCCTTAAGCATGTTTGACAGGGACAACGCAACACCCCTCCCTTTCTTTGGAATAAAACAAATCAACAGAAAAACATAAATCATGATAATTATGTAGGTTATTCACTGTAAACGTCCTCAGCACAGTTCTTGTGTCTCAACGTAAAATGTCTGCATTATGTATTCACTGCACACTTTCTGCGTTTGGACTTAAAATTTCTGCATTACATCTGTATCTCTGCAATATTCTTAAGAATGGTCATTTATTTGTGTTTGCTAACTTAACTAGTACTCGAAAATTACTCTCTCTTCTAAGATATTAAATTAGTGTCTGATGATGCCTAGCAATACAGTAATTATGTGTGTGCTGTTGTTGTGTAACGCTACATAGCCCATATCAATTATGCCTAAGGTTTATATCTGTCAGGCACTTTCACAACACTGCCACTCTTAGTTATAATTGGTGGTGCGTTTGTCTGTTGGTGTGAACGAGAGTGTTGAGGAGAGTAAAGGAACTCTGCCTCTGGTGGTGAGCTAGATTGCCTGATCTGCGAACCTGTTGACTCTTCCGATTCGCATCGTTGGCTTTTGTACACTTCTGACTGTGTAGTATGATGGTGAGACGGTTGTGTTACTTCATCCTTGTCCTCTTCTTCCCCAATTTGATCAAAAGTGTTGCCACCATGAAGATATTTGAAGTGGGATGAGTTTCTCACAACTTGTTGCTTGCCACGACGTGCCGTGATCATACTCCCTTTCGCGTCTTCAACGACAAGAAAATCAACGCTAAAGGGTGGCGAGAGTTTGCTTTTCTTTAGTTGGCGAACCAATATTGTGTCACCAGTATTGATGTTGTGGTGACGTGTTTTACAGAGGTCATCTGCGTAATCCTTTTGTTTTGACCTTACGTCGTTCATGGAGAGTGATTGATTACCATTTCTTGAGGTGGTTTGTGATAATATCTCTGCGAGGAATGTTCGCATTTTCCATCCAGTGAGTTCTTCGTGAGGTAGCATTTTTGTAGAACTGTGTGGCGTTGCCCTGTACTGTTTGGGAAAACTGGGGAGTTCCTCTTTCCAGTTAGACGTTTTGGCCATACAAGAACGGGCGAATTTTGTGATCGATCTAATGAAACGCTTAGCCTCGCCGTTTGCCTCCGGCTACAAAGGTGTGATCTTGCGATAATGGAATCCTGCCTCTTGACTAAAGGACGAACATTCTGAGCTTTTAACGAGAGGCCCGAATCTTGCAGACATTTGGTTTAGCTTCTGGTTGGCTACTTTGGCTGAGGTAGAGTGGACGATCTCTACTTATGGGAATCAGCTGTAATCATCGATCACAAGAAGCAGGTATTGACGTGTTGGAAATGGACCAGCGAAATCAACTGACAACTCTTCGCGTGGACAATTTGGGAGAGGTGTCATCCACAGGGGCTCCCTCTGTTTGTTCCCTGTGTGCAGCTTGTCATGGCAGGCATTTCTATACTTGTTCTTCCCCTACTTTGTCAATGCCAGGAAACCAAACTTTTTCTCTGATCAGTTGCTTAGTTTAACTATGCCCTGGGCAGATGCGTGGGCGAATGAAACTACGTGTCTTTGTAAGGACGGAGGCATAATGAGGCACTGTTGTCTTAGGATAGATAACTCGTCCTTGGTGTTTTCAAAGGAAGACAGTCGCTCATTAGTCTAATTCCTGACTTGATGTCGTTCATAACCATTTGGAGTTGTGTGCCTGCTTTCGTCGCATGTTTAACATCATCCAGAGACATTGCTTTTGGAACAGACGCTTTTGTTATATAGTTGATGTAACGTTCGCCAGCGTTGTCTCTCTCTGGTGTTGTGTATGGTTGTCTACTCAGGTAGTCAGCTTGGTTGCGTTCATTGCAACCTGGTGAATATTTGATCGCGAAATCATAGGGCATGAGTCTTGGTCTCCATCGCTCTATTCGTGAGGTACGTGGTTTGATGCTTTTCATGATGCCTAAGAGAGGTTTATGGTCAGTAGTGACTGAGAATGTTGATCCGTAAAGGTAAATGTGAAATTGGTCAACTCCATGCACTACAGCGAGCATTTCTCTGTCTGTTTGAGAGTAACGAGCTTCCATTGGCGACAAAATTCTGTTGGCATAGCATAACACTCTGCCATCTTGAGTCATCATGGCTCCGAGGCCACATGGTGAAACATCGACACAAATCTCGGTGTTTTTTTTCTTGGGTCAAAGTAAGCCATTACTTTAACATTGAGAAGCTGCGCTTTGAGCAAATTGAACGCATGTTTTTGTGTGTTTTTCCCACATTCCCAAGGCTGGTTTTCCGTATTAGTTTGCGCAATGGTTCTGTAATGGTAGCATAACCTTTGGTGTATCGAGAGAGAAACTGTGTCATTTCTAAGAAGGATTTCAGTTCCGAAACTGATGTTGGTGAGGCAGCATTTTCAACTGCTTGAATCTTATCAACTTGAGGAGAAATTCCAGTCTTACCAAGTGGTGACCCAAAAATGTGAGTTCGTTCACTCCAAAGACGCATTTGTCCTTGGCAGTCCTGGAGCAATTGATACCGAATTTGAAGTCAATACACCCTGTCTCAGGGCAATTTTTCTCTCCACTAGGGCTGCTGCTACCCATCTCATTAGCCATATGTCTACATCAAATTCCAGGAGACGGTCGATCAAACATTCATAGTCGACTCGGTTGTAAGCAACCTCAAGATCAAGTGTCGTCACAACTGTTTCCTTCCGCTGCTGAAAGCCTTCATAGATGTCGTAGGCCATGACAACCGCATTCACCGCAGTTTCTCGATGGGGTCTATAGCTGCCAAGCTCATTTGGCAACTGGGACTTCTTCTGTAAGTGTGCTGATATTCGTCCGGCAACTGAGTGGTCTTTTACTAGTTTGGGGATTGGTATCAACCAGCTGTGAAACCAGTCTTCAGAGATTTTACCAGTGCTAATGCTCTTGTTGAAGTCTTTCATCATTTCTTCAATCATCTCATTATCTGCTTATTTCATGTGGCAATATCTTACACAATCCGCCCCTCCAGTACTCTCTTTGGCATGTTGCATTGTTCTGGAAACCTCTTCTGTAGATATCGCTTCCTAGTAGTTTGCATACATGTCTGGCGTCAGCACACTGGAAACATCTCTTTCAACTTCTTTTATTGAGTCAATATTTCTCTGGTGTGTTTGGTGTATGAATCTGTCCAGGAAAGCCCTTCCTTTCTCCTCATCAGTTTGGATAGTCCTTCCTGACTTGTCCTTCACATTATTGTCTGGTTTGTATTTAAACACTCTATTGACCTTTTGTCTCACTGTCTTTCCATCCTTTGATATAAGAACTGAGCATGACAGGTGGTTGCTTCCGTGATCTGCCTGTACACTCCATTGTGTATAAGCTTCGCCACCTGTTTTGATCAGGGCCAGAACAATAATATTGGAGTCCTGTTCACCAGTTCTTTGAGATAGTCTTGTCATGGTGGATATGTTGAGGATGTGGAGATCACTTTCAATCAACTTGCTGTCCAACGCCTTTCCCTGACCATTTTCGTTGACATTGCCCCAGGCCGAGCTTCTGAAATTAAAATCCCCATCGATCATGACAACATAATTATCTAAGATCTCACAGCTCATGGAGAAACTCCCAGTCATCTTCCTTGACAAGTTTTCAACCTCTGGCATAGATATTGACAATGACCCATGACCTGTTGCGGATCGTTAGCTCAAGTGCTTGTAGCTCCCTGTCCTCCTTGTCTCAAGCAGAGACGTATCTTACCCGCTGCTGGATACCATTCCTTATCAAGTGTGGCCAGTCCATGATGAGTTGAGCTCACTGGGTTGATATATGACGTGTACCCAGGACATGACAATGTTTTAGCTTTGGTCTCCTGCAGAAAAAAGAGGTCAAAGTCATAAGCGAGCTTTTTCAGCTCTCTTCCTCTTTTTCTACTACTGCGGCAATCGCAATAGCCAATGTAGACGTTTTTCATTTTAAGTCTGTCTTTTTTTGCCTAATTCTTCATTCTCCAAGCCCTTCTTTTTCTGGCACCTCCTCTCTTTCCTCTCCTTTTTGTTCTCCACACTTCAGTTCTCAGCAACAGTTCTGGAGAAAGCGTCGCCAAAGAAGTACATTCTCCGTCGCTCCTGCGCCGTTTCCTTTCTTGATTTTTGAAACTTTTATTCATGTTTGGTTTTTCTAAGTTGTGACAAAATGTCTCGATCGATGTCGGTAAACTTGTAAAGTTGGCCCTGAGCTCGCAGGCGGACGTAAAATTCATGTTCACTTTCCCCCTCCTGTTGGTGACATTGACTCTTTGTGGAAAGTGCTCTTGCAATGAAAGCATGAGAGACCGGAAGTCCTTGTCTTTTTCCGGCAGCGTATTGACCAGGTTAAAAATTAAATCTTCGCCATAATGGAGCAGGACCGCTTTCTTGCGTTTTGGACTTGATATGTCCATTGCAGTTATAAGATTCTCTAGCTGCGAGATCCATGTTTTCCAACGACTACCCATTGGCGTATCCTGCTCCCGCATTTTAAATGGGGAAAAAGTTGGTAGCATATTGGTCATCATAGCGGAAAAAAGGGGTAAATGAATATTCAATTGTAGATCATCAGCATTTCGTGAGTACTAGCAGGCTGAGTTGAATCATTGACCATCTATCTTCAAACCAAAGCTAACTGTACAACAGTAATTTATCTATCTAGATGGTTGCAGTTAGCAAAGTAGAAATGCTGTTCAAAGACACATTGAGAAGACACCCCACGAATTATTTTATTCACAATTTGTACGCCATCATCATACAAATAGCCCTCCGTTCAATATCATTTGTTTCATAATAATTTTACTTATATTTGTGTGTGCGTTTCTTTGTCTGTTTTTGTGTGTTTATGTGTGTGTATGTGTGTTTGTGTGAGTGTATGTGTGTGTATGTGACTTTGGAGATCTTTGACTCGTGCCAAAGTTCTCCCATGTGCATGATCTTTATTCTTAATTTGACGCTGCTGACAAATAGCATTATCTTTTGATTTTAAATTTAAACTCTATATGCTCTAAGAGGTTTGTATTTAAAATGAGTAAATAAGAAAATGCATTGCTGAACATTAATATAAAGTGTCAGACAATTTACCCTCACTATTTAGACTCGTTATTTTAGCAAAGGGCAATCAGCCCTGGCACTTCTCTTGTCTCCAGTGCAGGGTGCCGTAGCCATGAGATTGCAAATGATAATGCTTTAATCGTACCCCGGCCGGGAATCAAACCTTAACCTCCCTGATTTCACTAAGGTGTCCTGACCATCTGCTGAAGTCAGCTCTTCTGTCATAAGAAAATATTGTCGCTTACGAGTATGCACTTTCCCAAAATTTCCCCCTGATCAAACCTAGTAAACGACAATAATAGTCGCTTACGAGGTCTGATCACTACCACGGTGGTGCAATCATTCCTCGTACGCGTCATAACAGTAGAAAATCAATATTTTTTTTTTAAAAAGTATCTAACTCGCATTCAGTTGCATTGTTTTGAGTGGTTTATGCTAAACTGAAAAGGTTTGACAACGCCGTTTTAAAACTAATTATTTTTTTCCCTCTCCTGGAACATTTTATCTCTGGCGCTTACGAGGTCTGATCATGGGGGGCATGGATAGTTATTCCATTCCGCTCTGGTGGCCTTGACGGGCAGGGTCGAAACTGCCTCCCTCCGTATTGATACATTGTACAACGGGTTTATTTTTCGCACACCCTTTGTTTTTTCTGCTTTTCGCCGATTCCCTTTTTCGAGGACGTTTTTAATATGCGATTTTAGTCTCCCAGTGTCATGTACTATGTATTTCAATTCCAGTGCAGTCGCACGCCTTTTAACATTTCGCGGATAACTTGAAAACGGCGAATTTCTTTTAAAATCACGAATTCTAGTAGCTTGTGGAAAATTATATATTCCACTTTTGTTGGTACGCAGTACATTAATAATAATAATAATAATAATAATTGCATTTATATAGCGCATATCCATGCTCAAGAGTTTGCCCTATGCGCTTTACAACTATTATTACCCCAGCAGACCCTCTGAGAACACTCAGAAACATTCTCAGCTTCCGCGGAAGCATACAGTGCAAGCTGCGGATTTGACGCGCTCAAACACTATCAAACTGACAAGATCTTTCACTGTCTATAGCTGGGTACCCATTTCCACCTGGGTGAGGTGAGGAAAATTTGTGCAAAGTGCCTTTCCCAAGGACACAACATCGGGCCCCTGACGGGATTCGAACCCACGACCTTACGGTTGCGAGTCCGAGAGCCTAACCACTAGGCCACCGACGCCACATTGTGTCGTTGGAGACGAAAATACAATATTTTTGTGTGTGTTTTACAGCGCTCGCAACTGCATACGGTCCTGCTGCACAAGACACATTGAGGATTTTTAGTTTGGTAGGAACTCATACTGCATAGAGCACCATTTCAAAACAATACCCCCCATCCCCCCCCCCAAAAAAAAAAAAAAAAAAAAAAAATTGGTACCAGACGCCAAATGTCAAATACGCACATCATAAGTGTTTGTCAGAAGCAGAAAGTAGACCAGAAAACACGAAAGACACACAATGAATGTCTGTTGTATATGTTAAAAATACCTGTTTTTCTTTGACCTTCCAGAGTTTCCGGGGACTGTAATATGTAACTTGGTGTCAGTGTTATAGTTTCTAAAGAAACACGTTGCTGCTATTGAAAACTGTTTTCTTTTTCTCCCCCCCCCCCCCTCTCTTTAAAGGAAAAAACCTAAGACATCTCCCACCCAAAAAAAAATTGTTACAGAAAGTGGCCGAAACTCGTTGAATTTGCGTCACCAAAGGATTTCCCTACACCGGAACAGCAGAAAATGTTTGAGTGTGTTGTATATATATATATGTGTGTGTGTGTGTGTGTGTGTGTGTGTGTGTGTGTGTGTGTGTCGGTGTGTCGGTGTGTGTGTGTGTCCGTGTGAGTGTGTGTGTGTATACAAGTGTGTGTGTACATGTGTGCGTGTGTGTGTGTGTGTGTGTGCCTGTATGTGAAGGTGAGTGTGAGTATGTGTGTATGCGCACGTGCGTACGTGAGTGTGTGTGCGTGCGCATATATGTGCGTATGAGTGTGTCTGTGTGTATCTATGAGAGGAAGTGTGGATATCTGTGTGTGTTTATGCGTGTGTATGTGTTTATGTGTGTGTGAGTGTGTGTGTATGTGTGTGTGTGTGTGTGTGTGTGTGTGTGTGTGTGCCTGTGTGTGAGTGTGGGTGTGAGTTTATGTATGTATTCATGTGTGTGTGCATGCATGTGTATGTGTGTGTGTGTATGTGTGTGTGTGTGTGTGTGTATCTATGTGAGTATGCTTGTGTTTGTGTTAGTGTGTCTGTGTGTTAGAGTGTGTGTGTGTGTCTATGTGCGTAAATGTGAATATGCGTTTAGTAGTGTACGCGTGCGTGTTAAATTATGTTTGTGTGTGTGTGTGTGTGTGTGTGTGTGTGTGTGTGTGTGCGTGTGTGTGTTTGTGTGTTTGTGTGTTTTTTTGTGTCTCTACGTCTATGTATAAAGGTGTCTATGCCTTTATGTGTGTCTGTGTGTTTGTGTATGTGTATGCATATACAAAGTTTGTATGTCATTGTTGGTGGAGTTTTCAATGCTCTGAACACACTTTATTCAGCCCTTCTGCTACAAATGTTGACTTTGAATTCCCCAGTCACGAATGATCTTTTACTTTTTATAGGGGTCTGAATTTCAAATCACACCACACCACAGCAGCCACACCGTATTATTTGTCAACATTTAAATTTCCTGTTTGGCGCGATTGGTCATTCTCCTTTTACAACGTGTGTACACAAACATGAAACACTGAAAGGCTAAACATGCATATAGCTGTTTTGTTAGTAAGTCGCTCATTTAGAAGCTGTAGGGAAGAATGATTTGTCACATTTTAATTTTGCCAATTTTTTCTTGCCATAAACGTGCACCGATCCTTATGTCAATTT